ATGATTGTCTCTGACTTAATTCTAAATCTTACCTCTCAGGTCAAATACCAATTCTTGATTTTATTTTTTTTTTTTGTGGTTTCAGTTTCAGGGCCTGCCTTACACTGTAGTAACGCTGAGTTTCCCTGGATTTGTTTTAGTAGCAAGGAGTATTTCATAAGTTTCTTCTCCTGCCTTTCTTTAGGGGTGGGCTTAACAGCACAATGGCACTTGCTGTGCAGCAGAGGGAAGCTGGCTAGTCTTGTCTTGTCACTGTGAATTAAGCTCAAACAAGTTGAGTATTTGTGGGTTTAGGCTGACTGCCACACAGTTTTAGAGTGGAAAAAAGCAAGTCTTATACACATGCATTCTCTGCATTTGAACTTAAATTGCATGAGTGAATGAGTTTGGAAAGTGAAATCTTGAGGCTCAAGTGACATGTCGGATGCTATTGCAGTCTGCTGTACACAAATACCAACTTCAGATTCCTTTGCCTCAATGTTCAGGGAAACTCCTCCAGGTCTGGGCATTATCTTAGCAATTGTTCCAACGCCAAAGGTCTCCAACTGACATTGGGCTAAAATCTGTGTCCAAAGGCTGTTGGTTTGAAGTAGTTGGAGCCACACTGACTGATGAGCTTACTTGATGTCGCAGTAGCTCAAGTCCTTTCATTTAAGCTTCAACCTGGAGTGAGCTTTCAAAGAAGTTCCACAAATCCCTCAATTAGGGGTTCAGGAAACGGACAATCTTGACTGCACCAGTACCAACATTGCTACTTGAATTGATCTTAACTTATAAATGGTCTCCTTTTCTTGATGGGTGTTAACATACCACTAAGGCTTTTCCACTTCTCTGCCATGAATAAATACCTCTTCTTAGAAGAGTTTTTTTAATTGTTGGTTTCCATTCCAGGTGGATAAACTGGATGCATCAGAGTCTTTGAGAAAGGAAGAGGAGCAAGCTACAGAAACACAACCTATTGTTTATGGTAATGCTTTAATTCATGTGTTGTCAGTAGGGTGCTCTGCTTTAAAAACACCACTCTTCTACTTGCGGCTTTTCCAAGGGTATCCTTGGAAATGGGAATGTTCTTCGTGTGAAATCAAGTCTTGAAGAAATGTGTTCCAAACTACTGGATAAAGTACCACTCTAATCCAATTTTAGCAGGAGCGTATGAGCTGCAGGATTTCAGATTGTCCCACCTTATTAAAGAAATGCTTCCTAAAGGGAGTGCGGAAGCTGTATAATTCCAGACTTCTAGCAAGTGCGTTATTTGAATGTTGCTCAACTTGCTTTGTCTGTCTTGGGTATTTCCTTTGTACTGAGGTTATCCCACTAATTCTAGTAAGAATATGACTTCTATCCAGTAATAAAGGAGCCTTTGCTGTATAGTTGACAGCTCTAGTCTCCACACCGCGAAGCAGTACAAGAAGTGTGGAATATTAGCAATAAAGCCACAGGGTGTGATGTTACAAAACCTAGTTCTGAGTCCTAATGTGACAAGAGCCTTGAGGGCAGGGGGGTTGGAGCTAGATGATCTCGAGGTCCTTTCCAACCCTGACTATTCTATGATTCAATAAGTAATCCAATCAACACTGTCTGTCAAAGCAAAAAATCTTGCAACAGTTGTGTGTGCACTCTTAATGTTCTTAAAATGTTTGGCTGCTGGCTACTGTAAGGGTGAACCAGGCTGGAGCTGTGTCTTGGCCACCCTATAAAAACTGCAAACTGTTGGGCTGTCTTACTGAAGTGTAAGTGTCTGACTATCAGCTGCTTATCAAAGTAGTGAATGCGGTTTATGAGAATGTTCTGGAAGGTGCCTCTGCTTCAGTGCTGCAGGGGTCAAGCCTTTGCATCAGGCTCACTCTAGCATAGGGCTCTGGCCCTCAGCAAGGCAGAGTTACTAATGCAATTGGAGCAGGAAGTGCTGTTTTAAGAGCCAGACTGACTCTGGGACTGGGTGAACTTGCTGCTTAAGGAGCAGGAAGCTGTTCCTTTCTCTCTCAGCATCAGATGTCTAAGAACTTAAACTTCTTACCCCAGAATTCAAGAATCTGGGTCCCGGTACTTCACAGTGTAGTATTTGTAACCATAGAATCTGTCATCCTGAGGTTTTGTGGGGAAATGGCCATTCTGGCTTCTGAAGACCCCAAACCAGGTCAATAGGGACTTACTGTTAAGCATACAAGGTTGCAGGCATTCTGCTGGCTGATCTCTCGGTACCAAGGAATAAAGATGAATCCATTCTGTCTTCCAGGTCAGCCCCAGCTAATGTTGACAGCAGGACCCAGTGTCGCAGTTCCTCCACAAGCACCTTTTGGCTATGGCTACACCGCACCCCCATATGGGCAACCGCAGCCTGGCTTTGGGTACAGCATGTGAGATGCAGCACAAGTCAGTTTGGAGCTAGTGTATTTTCTTACTGAAACTTCCACCGTCCCTCCCCGCTTTAACTCATAACAGGGAAAAGCAAGAGTTCTGCCTCGTGTTCTTGTAACCTTTACTTCATGAAGGACTGTTTTTTCTAGCGCAAACTATTTGAATCACTTACGTTAAATCTTTTTTCACATTCCATGTCATTTAGACTTTAAAAGGGGAATAGTTTAAACGACTTTGTTCAAGTGGGCTTTTGCAGGACTGCTTATTACCATTAAGTCTATTGTGAAGATTCTGATTTGCACTCTATAGTGTTACACTCTAATATTGAATCTTAAGTTCATTGTATGTGAGCAGCTTACAGTATGTACTGTCTATTCTAAACAGCATTTAAGTATCACTGTATATTCGGAGAAAGCTAAAGTGAAGATTGTATTTGACCTTGCAAGACCGCTGACAAGAGACAACACTAATCAGCATATCCTGCCTTGGTTGGATTGCATAGCTCAAAAAAGAATTTAAAATGCGTACAGACAACCTTGCCTGACTTAAAATGAGTACAAGTTGGTTGAAGTTTTTTTTTTCTTAACCTATGCAGGTTTTTCCAGTTATGCATATAGAAAATGCTAGTGTCTTTTTGCTCACTCCATATGTAACAGATGACCTTATGTTGTGCTGTATCCTGTGCTTTTGTGGGACATTCCATTCAGGAACAGAGCACCATGATTCCAATCTGTGTATTTACTAACCCTGCCCTGAGGTTTGTGTATGTTGGATATTGTGGTGTTTTAGATCACTGTTTTGAGTGTACAGAAGAGAGAATTCAAGCATATTGCTGTTCAGTTTTGTTTGTGCAATTTGAAATTACTCAGTTTAAAAAATAAATTACTGGACTGTGGACATGCTGCATAGTGGTAGCTTCACTTTACTGTTTTCAAACAGGACCTTCAAACTCAAGCCAAGTATTACAGTGCTAGTACAGGACGTGCAAGCGCATACATTCAAAGGTATGAGGGGCCATTAGAAGAGCAGCAATGGAGACCGGTAGTGGTGTCTTGCACTGAGGGGGTGATACAAGAAAATATGTAATGCTTTTTCTATAGAAAGATTATGCCAGAGAGAAGAAAATAGCACTTTTCAATAGTTGGCTGCATTGTGGCCAACTACAGCATATTTGACCAGGTGATAGATTAGGACTGTAGTAGGGTATGTCAGTTAAATTGAGATCATGTTCTAGGTATGTAAGTTGCCTTAAACATATTTAGCTTCAAATAAAATTGACTTAAATGTTTCTCTATGAATACTGTCATATTTGAGTGTAATGAGCCCTATTTGTGGTAGCTGTAGGCACTTCTGTCTCTTAACCAGGAGCCATCCTATTCTCAGTGTCAGGTTCCAGCTCTGTAGCTGCATCTCCTTCCTGCTTCCTCCTGTGAAACCTGAACTGAGGTTTTGGGGTCCTGTCAGTGCAGCAGCAGTGTCATGATGGGTGTTGGCACCTGGAGGCAACTCGCCTGCCACAGGCTCTAAGTGTGTGTAGGCTTTTGTTCAGTCTGGAGCAGAAATCTACAGTCAGTAGTCTCAGTCTTTGAGAAGTATTATGCCTAAATAAGAGGTGCAGTACAAAAACCTGTTCTGTTTGTTACACTTGCTTATGCTTGCATTTCAGCTCCCTGAGTTTGTGAATTTGACTGATGGAGGCAAATCCTTCTATTTTCTTCTACAACCTATTTCACAGGTACTCAACTGTGAGACATGGCTAAAAGGCTGTAAAAGTGCAGAATTCTCACAAAATAGCTTTGTTCAAAAACAGTCTCAAAGTCCCCCTACTTACAAGTGCAGGGAACCTGCCTTTTACGGTGTTTAAGCTACAGTGGAGCTGCAGAGTGGATTTGCAGAGCCATGATCAGTGTGCTCTGAATTCTGCCCAACACCTGCTGTGATGGCGTGCTTCCTTATACCCAGGAGAACCTGTTAATCCCAAGTAAAACATGATTTAATTTAGTCCCTGCAGGACAAGCTGTTTATATGAGCTTATTCAGCCTAGAACTTGGCTTAACTGCTTGCAGATTACTGCAAGTGCAGCAGCTGCATGGACACATCCAGAAAGGAGCAAGGCTTACAGCTGTTCCGCAGACCTGATTACAGCCTGTTAAGGCCTCAGTTGCAAAGCCAGTTTAACTTGGCTACAAGCTATTGCATCAGTTACTCAATGAGTAAGGAAGGTGGCTACATACCCCCAGTTGTACGGGTCAATTTTAACTGCTTACAGCAGCTCATCTTTTCCAAATTAAAGAATTTCTCTTTAAAAATACCTTCTGTTAAGGTAGAGAGGAGAAACCTGACATTTTTGCATATGGGACAAATTAATTTAAACTTCACAAAGGCTTTTCTTCAGCCATTAACCCAGAATAAAATCTTCAGTTGCACGAATCTTCAATATACCGAGTTCCTTCTTATAGGTATCAAAAATGTTGCTGGCTTTACTTCCTTCAACCCCACTGAGCCCAGCATCTTTTTACCCACCTTAAAATGAGGAAAAGAAAAGCTGGAGAAACAAACGTGGAATCTCTTACAAAACCTGGTTATTTTATTTATAATGAGAGAACATATGAGCAAAAATCCATAAACCTGGATTTTAGCTCTACATACCAATGTGTTGAGACTTCTTTGGTCCCCAGTTAAAAGAGTTTTAGATGACCAGAAACTTTATCTACCACATCAGCTGGTCCCGGTCCAATCCCAAGGACAGTCTGGGAGCCTGGAGCTATCTGAGTACGACCTGCATCTTGGATTAAGCTCACAGTCAGTCCAAGGTGTTTTGCATCAGCCAGGAGCTGGATCAGTGTCTCCTCATCTGGAGCTCTGAGGACCACTTTCGGTTGTCCACAGTATTCCCACTGCTTCAGGAGCTCAGGGTTTCTTCTTTGCACTTGCTTGTAGGCAGACACAGCGGCATGGGAACACTGTGCTGCTACTTTACCCTTCCCCATCTTCAGATCGTTGCGGACGATCAGCACCATCTTGAACTCCCCGGACTCTCCCATGGCTTCACTGCCCAGGCTGCTGCTGGCGGCTGCGCTGCCTCCCACCAAGGGCTGCCGGAGGAACCTCCCCCGAATGCCCCATCCCAGGCACACACCGCAGGCAACTCCTGCAATGACACTGAGGAGGCCGGGCTGGGAGAGGCTATCCATGACGGGACCCGGAGACTGGCTGTGAAAAGAAGGGGAGAACAGAATTTACTCGGGGGTTTGCCAGCGGGTGAGCGCGCACCCGGGTGCGTGGAGACAAACGGTGCTCGTTACACACGCGTTGGGGAAGCAGTTCAGAGATGCCTTCCCGGGTACGTGGCCACAGCCGCTCCCAGCGACAGCTCTAACTCCACAGCACCCTGACGGTGCGCGAACAACGTCTCGGGAAGCAGAGCAAAGAAACAAACCCGCGAATCATGCGAAATTCACGCTTAAAAACGCTGGGAGAAGCGGTAAAGCGCCGAGGGTTTAAGGCAGAGCCCACGTTCACCTCAGGGCCCCTGCCCGGGGTGCGGAGCGGAGCCGCATCCAGCTCGGCCCCACCGAGGGCTGCGGCGGCAACGGCCGCGCACCGGAAGCGACCGCACCGGGGCCGCTGGAGCCTGCGGCAGGAGGGGGCGGAGGCGAGGCCGCGCCAGGCCCCGGGCCTGCTCCCAGCGCTCACCTGCCCCGCGCACACCGGGCACACCGCGCCGCCGCCGCCCGCGGATGACGCTACCGAAGGCGGCCGGGAGCGGGAGGGCGTGAGACGCGCCGGAAGTGACGAACAGGGGGTTAGGCGGGAAGGGGCGGGCTTGTCCCCGCCCACACTTCCTCGTTGGCCCGGGCCCAGCGGGAGCCGCCGGCTCGGAGCGTGGTGAGTGCGGTGGGGCCGGGCCGGGGCTGCCACAGCGGCGGGGGCCCCTCGGCAGCACCCGTGGCGCTTCCCTCGTCCCGCCCCTTCAGCTCCAGCAGCGGGGCCGCTCCCCTCACGGCCACCCGGGCCCGGGGTCGCGCTCTCTTCCCCCCTCACCTCTGTCTCCGCGGTGACAGCGCGCTCTGGGCTGGGCCGTGGCGGCGGCGGCGGCGGCCGCGGGCCGGGAGTCCCGGTCCCGGAGGGGTGGCGGCGGCGTCCCGGGGCACCGTGACCCGGAGGGGTGGCGAGAGAGGCCCAGGCAGGAGAGCTGGCGGGAGCCGCGGGTGAGGCAGCCGGGAGGTGGCCGCTGGCTGAGCGCTGGGGCGGGGGGAAGCCGCCTCAGGCCCTTGAAGTGCGGGAGGAAGCTCGTCGCTGCTGCCGTTCAGGGCGATAGCTCCGCTGCTGCTGCTAATTCATCCCCTGTCCCGCCGGAGACCTGCTGTGCTCGGGGCGTTTCACCTGAGGCTGGACAAAACCCGGTGACTGCACGGTGAAATCGCCCTGCTGTGGCCCAGGGGACGGTGCCTGATGACACAGTGAGAAACTCATCCTTCTGGCTGCGGAGTCAGGCGCTGATGGTCTTTGTGTGCTTCTCCAGTAGAAATGTGTTGTGTTTCCCTCTGAGCCGATGGTTGCATCTTCTGCATCGTGTTCCTATAGACTGCTGCTGCCTTCTGCAGATTTAGGCCCAAATCCATGTAGACTCTCGATGTCTTATTCCTGTTGACCAAAGTTAAGGACCTGGATGTGTTTGTCTGGTTCCTAATTCTCTGGCCAATGTCATCTGGTGTTTGCAGAAGATAATATAGCACTGACATTCCCATTTTGTTCTAGTTTTGACCCTTAGATGTTTGGCAAGTCATTTAGGTGACCTGAGGGAAGGGCTAGCAAGTTTGTTTGATGGTGGCTCTTTATTTACAAAGTGCTGTGAATCCAGGTTATCTGCTTTGACCTGCACATGCAGCACTTCCTCAGGGTTCTCTCCTGTCCTTGTGTTCTCTGGCATGTGCTTGCCAACAGGTGGGTGTCCTGGTTTAGTCAATGTTAGTGATATGGGTTGAGCACTCTGACGTGGAGGAATACTACTCATTTATGCCTTGAAGCATATGTGTTCTGTTTGAGCAGTGGCTTTTGGTGCAGTTTTACTGCTAGGACTTACGCTCTCCTGAAGTGGTTTCACCCTGGTTCCTGCCAGATAGGTTGACTGGGGGTTCTCATGTTTTATACCATTTTACCTTGTGATGGCATAGGCAAGCTCTTCTTAGTGCATTAACTTGGCCTATCAAAATGGCCTTCAGTATGTCTGTCCCCTTTCTTTCAATCCATTATTTCTGCAGCATGGGTGGACTTGTCTTTATTCCTTATTGGGCATAAGTGACAGCTGTAGTGATGGCTTCATCCCCTGTTTTCAGATGAGAGGTTAGAAAAACAGGTTTCCAGACAGTCAATGGGAGGTGAGCACTACTTACTAATTTGGGGTAAGCTTCTTGTCCTACTTAACAGCCGAAATCCATGGTACTTGTAGTTTCTATGGGAAAGGGTAGGAGGAGACTCAGTAACTTTTAAGTGGGTAGTGGTAATGAGGAAGGTGAGTATACTGGAAGCAAGCCTCTTAGCTGGAATGTCTGTACTGTTCCCACCCTGAAACATTTATCCTGTGCTTGTCTTTAAACATCTTTTGAATGTCAGAAGTATTTAGAATCATAGAACAGTCAGGGTTGGAAAGGACCTTAAGATCATCCAGTTCCAACCTCCCTGCTGTGGGCAGGGACACCTCACACTAAACCATGTCACCCAAGACTGTCCAACCTGGCCTTGAACACTGCCAGGGATGGAGCATTCACAACTTCCCTGGGCAACCCATTCCAGTGCCTCACCACCGTTACAGTAAAGAATTTCTTCCTTATATCCAATCTAAACTTCCCCTGTTTAAGTTTTAACCCGTTACCCCTTGTCCTGTCACTCAGTCCCTAATGAAGAGTCTGTCCCCAGCATCGTTATAAGCCCCCTTCAGATACTGGGTGGCTGCTATGAGGTCTGACTACATCTTGTGAATAGCTCTCCTTAGACTGTTCTGTGTAAATAGTGCATATTTTGAGATCTTATTTCTTAATAAGTCTTGGTTTTAAAACAGAAAACTTACTGATGTATAGTAAGAGTAGGCCAGTTTTTCTGGTATAATGGTGATGGGAAATGTACTACTACCTGCAGAGTAGAACTTTAACTTCTGGTACTTGTGGAGAAGTGTGAACTGGATGGACTTTGCTATTCCATAAGAGCAAAGGGCACAGCCTTGAAGCTGTTCCAACACTGAACTTTTTCTATTCCTGTGGCAGGTTGCAGCTGTAGTCATGGGGCAGGACCTTGCTGGTTTTGAGGCTGCACTGTCCACGTGGACCCAGGAAACAGGAATATGTTGTTTTGAGGCAGGCACTTGTTCAGTCTATTTCAGACTTCTTAGAAGAATTGTCTTCTCTCCTACAAGGCTCAGAATTAGCCTCAGCATGTATGTGGTGAATTTGAATCTGTATTCACATTTGAATGGTCAAGGCAGCCATAGTGTAACCTGAATTGGTTACAGTTAGAGACTGGTACCATCTATGAAAAGCACAAGTCATTGTCTCAGGAGCATGTTTCAGCTACAGTTTTCTGTGGGGCTTGGCAGTGACTTCTGTTCATTCCCTTTCATCTGTGCTGTACTTCCTCTTTCAGAAGAAGCACTCTGGATAGAACAGCTGGGTAGGTTCAGACATCTTTTTGTGGGGACCCTGTCTCCCAGCACTTACAAGATAGTATAAAAGGCAGAGTTCTTGCCAAATCTACACTGTGCACAAGCTGCTGGAGGAGCCAGGTGGTGATGCTTAAGGCTGGGTTTATACTCTTACGTTTCTAACTCTTCATTCTTTCCCAGCCAAATTTTTGCAAGGCTTTTTTGTGCAGGGTGTGTTGTCCTGTCACAATAATTGTGACCTTTATTTCCTCTGTGCCTTTTGGAAGCTTAGGGGGGCTGATAGCAGTGTTTGACTGCCACCTGAATGTAGAATGTTGTCTAAGTGCTGTGAGACAAACATCTTGGCAGGTAGTATGAGCATGGATTTGTGTATAGCCCTTTGGAACTAAGGATGTGAAAGGTACTTGTCCAGTCACCTGAATATTAAGCTATGGTCTTTTTTTTGTAGTGCTCTGTGGTTTCTCTCTCCAAAACCTTTCTCTCTGCTCATATCAGACTTTTCAAATCATCAGTTTTGGTGGAAGGGCTGCTTGGGCATACATGTCATGCCCTCCCCAAGAGGTACCTTATCATAGCACTGATCAGTGCTGTGGTAGTTCTTGTCCCTGACTCCCTGTTTGAGAGAGGGCTTGAAGTACAGTGTACTATAATGCTGTCATTCAAAATCTAGATATGGTGAAGCTGGGCGCTTGGGAAAGTGAAGTTAGCATGGCAGCACAGCAGTGATTCTGAGGAGGTGTCCTGTGGTGGTCATGGGTCACCCCCTCAGCAATGTATTTCACCCTTGCTGCTAACCTTGGAGTGCTTTTCTCAGGAGCTAGTTGAGCAGCAGTGGAGCAGTCTTTTTCTGTCAGCTGCAGTCTGCACCCTAGGCTTGCTGCTTCTTGCCAATGTAAAGAGCACGGGACTGATCTGCGAGCTGGTTATAGCATGGGATGCTACCCTGATAATATTCACGTTCCCGCTTATTGCCATTTCCTTTTATTTTATTTATTTATTTATTTTTAAAGTTTCAGCAAGAGATCACTGCAGAGACCCAAACAAAATGAATTTTATCTTTCCTACCATCTTCTGTGCCTCTTCATCTATAATACTGTGTGATGACTCTACTGTATTATTATAGCACCCAGTTCTACTGCTGCGCTCTACATAGGCAACCATCAATATTCATGATTCACCTGAGAAAGTCCACCAGAGAGAGCAGCTTAATAACCAGTGGCCGTAAACAGGAGGGGCAGAACTCTTAGTAACCTCAAAAGAAAATGCGTGGCACCCCTGAAACATGTGTTGTAACAATATTAAATCATTCTTTCCTGAAACATCTCCCAAAGTCTTTTTTGAAAACTGGAAATTTTAGCTTCAAATTGTCAGATAACTTTTCTGAACTGGTATTTGGCTAAGAATTGGAAAATAGGTCTGGTGTAGACAGGCATAACCCACAAAATGGAAACTTGTCGTCTTTAACTGAATTACTTTTCCTTTGAGGGATTAAACTCTTTTAGTTAGAAAAATATTTTTAGTATGGGAATAAATGCACTGATATCAAAGTCACCCATTATAGTGAACTCTG